AATTGCTTCCGAGCAATTCTTGCCTGAGCCAGATTTCCTTACATTGTCACTGTATTTTGTGTTGTAATAGTAGAATTATCATAGATTCATAGTACTAATTATAATTTTAAAATATTATTAAGCATAAACTTTTTTATGTTGTTATAAAAAGATAGACATACCCTATATTAATAATAAAATAACATATATTAGGGGTTCTAAAAATTTTTACTCGATCATGATATTTTTCCTCTTACCAAATGACAATTCTGTCTCTCAATTACTGCTTGAAAAAAAAACAAGAAAGCACTAAATCACGGGTGTATTATAATAGCTCAGCAATATTGTAGTGTTCGCAATTTATTTTTGTTCCTAGGCTTCAAGCCCAAAACGCCTCTACTAAATTGATGAGACCATTAACATATTAACGTATGGGTGAGAAAATAAAGGCGTGAAAGGAGAATGACGGACGATCTTGTCAGGCATTATGCATGATTGTGAGTGTGGTACCAGTTTTATGAGAGAGTGAAAAGTGATGATTAGGGAAGGTTGAATTCTGTTATGGTGAGAAAGCAGAAATAAAAGAGAATTGCAGGGATTTCGAGGGATTCTTTCAGAAATAATAAGGGAAAAGGTTGGGCCTCGGAAGTCCAGTTGGTTTTTTCATTCTATTCTCAGTGTAGTTATGGTTATTTTCTTCTTTTGTTGATCTGTAGTTGAAGATGGAATTGACTTGGTGTAGTTTGGTTATCACATATATAATCGATGTTATTCAATATTTGCTATTGTTCTTGGATTGTTTCTCTGTGTGACTTGAAGTTCTGTGTGGTTGTAGAAGTGTTCTGGGATGTTGTTATTGTGAGTGACAATTGCTGGTTAAGATTGGGTATCTAACATGATATAGACTTACTAGTCCTATTTAAACACTCTGTTATCAGCAATGTGGACTTTATATTACAATACACAACACATTGCAATTGTGTTGATATCGTATTATAAGTATCCAAACCTCATCGCGTCGTGCTGAAAACGGTTTAGAACATTGAAAAGGAGAAAACTTATTTGCATGGCATTGCTTCTTGGGTGATTATTTATACTGAAGGGATTAGGTAATTGCTATGGCAATTATATTTCCTATTGGAAATTATGTTAGTTATGTTGCAATATTATATTTATGCATTTTGGATTTTCTAAAGTTATTTAGGGCCCAATTAGTAACGTTTTATCAATTTTTCTTTTTCTTTTTCTGAAATTGCTTTTTTTATTTTATTTTCAAGATTTGGCATGCAACGGATAGCATGTCTGAAAATAATAGTGACACATATCACAAAATCCCTCACAATTACAAAAGCATTTATAATTACCTAAAATCATGTCCTAAGTAGTAAGTACTGCTCACTTCATTTTGGTGAAGGCATGGATCTGATTTTCATCCATCTAATGTATAACAAATGGCGTAATAAGTACTGAATGACTGGGACATGGAAACTCAATAGAGCTTCACTTTGTTGATATCATTAAATGTCTTGAGCTCTTGCCACTGCCTATACGGCTATACCATCTCACAATGCCCCCTTTGTCAAACTGTTGGCCAATTACTATGTTTGAAGCATGGAGGACGAGGACGAGCTAAATGAAGCTTAGAGGAGTCAAAGATTAAAGTAACAATTATATAAATAAAAATAAAAATACACATAAATATTTGTATTATAAATTCTCATTAACTATATATTTATAATTGTTCTTGACGAAATTTCATCTTTTGAAAATATTGTATAATGACTCTCATTATCAATACTATCAAATACATCATTCTCTATATACACAACTAAACTATCATTCAACCATTATCACTCATTCTATTTCGCAAACAATTTTTCACAACATTCATTGCTGAAAAATGCTCTCTTTACCACTAGCAATGGCAACCGATAAAATCATGTTTTTTATCAAACATATAAACTATGGAAACACTCTATCCTTCTTAGTTTCAACCATCACTCTTGCAAGATCTCTAATCCCATGCAATTCCATAAACACTCTATCCTTCTTAGTTTCAACCTGCTAGACCCCTGCTGTAGGCTGATAAATTCTTGAACCTTCTCATGAACTCAGTCTTCTGTTCTATACTCAGCTTCAAATTCTCTTCTGAACTCACCCTAGTGTCATCACAGAAACATCATGGGTGTCTCTCCATTAATTCCCACCAAATTCGGGCATCACCCCGAAACAAGAAACTGGCACACACCGGATCCTCCCCCTGTCCATCATAAGAACAATGCTGTCGTACGCTCAACGGATCTAAGCCATTCTTCTGCCACTAAAGGATCCGTTGTACCTTTAAATTCTAATGGTTGATGTTGACTTGGAAGCCCATAAATCGCGCTCAATCCGATTCTGTACTGTCGGGTACCGACCTTTCTCTTTCTTCTCTTGGGCAGTACTTGAACGGGTTTTCAATTCTTTCTCTTTCTGGTTCGACTCTCCCCATCTTTCTCCTAAGACTTGCTGTACAATCCCCCAAATTCTAGCTTCACTCAAGGGTAGGGGAGTAAGTTCTGGTGGGTTGGAAGGTTCCCCCATACTCATTGTTTTCTTACTACTTGCTCGGGTTCTACCTCTACCTCTCATCTACAAACCAACCACATTTAATCAACATATGCAACACTTAAAGTAAGGAAAGAAATTTAACTCACAGTGGTCGGCTTCGGAACATCACGGCCGTGAGAATGGCAACACTGTCAAATCCCAAATTTTTGCTTTGATACCAAAAATGTAATGACTTCTTTCTACTAATATGCTCTAAAATAACTTAATAAAAATACTATATATTGACTAAAAGTAGTTGGGCCCAAGTTTTTTCTTTACTTAATATATACTTCTTTACACAGTACAAAATAACATATACAAAAACTATGAAAATGTGTGACAGTGTAGCCATGTCTCTGCTTGCCGACGTCCATCCGACGCCGCATCCTCACCTATTTCCTGCAAAGACATAGAAAGCAACGGGATGAGCACAAAAATGCTCATTCTCTACTCCGCTTCCCCTGCATCACTCTTTAATTTCTTTCCTTATTCTACTCTTTCTCTTCTTTTTCTTTCTATGTTTCTTACTCTCACTGTTCTTTTCTTCTTTTCTACTTCTCCTCTATTCTTTCTTTCTTATTCTTTCTATTCTTCCTAACCATGATGAAATTCATGGCAATGTACATGAATAAAATGCATATGCAATAATGTACAAAAATGTTTTCTTTCTTATCTCTTTTTCTTGTTCTATTTCTTTTCTTTTCTTTTCTTTCTTTTCTTATTTTCTTTCTTTTCTTATTCTTTTGCTGATCAGACTCGGTTGATGTATGGATTCGAACCTTGGCCATGTGAGTGAGTACAGTCCACATCTACATGCACTCTTGGGGACCGTACAAATTCTTCTTTCTTCTTAGGCCACTCAATTAAGATGACGTGCATGTAGCAATTCTTTTTTGGTACAACCCTCATCCACATACACTCTTACAGGTCGTACAATTCTTCTTCTTCTTATGCCACCCAATTAAGGTGTCGTGTATGTGGGAGTTTTCTTCTTACACTCACGTTCCCCATCACCAACCTATTCTTTACTTTTCTTTACACTCTTTAATTCTTTAATGCTATTCTTCTTTTCTTTTTATCTTAAGTGTTTTATTCTTTCTTTCTTTATTCTTATTCTTTAGTCTTTATTCTTTATTCTTCTTATGTTTCTACACAATCACAATTATATGCATATGGATGGCACATGTTTAAAATTTCTTACTTAAATGCACTTATGAAATGCCACAAATGCAATGTTGCATCAAGTAGTCATTCTGCACAGTCTTATTCATAAGGCATAACTTGAGTTTAACACATCGAATTGCTACGATATTTATCTCGTTTTAAAGCTTAGAGACAGGGCTATAACTTTTATGTTTTGGTCTACCCCAGTTCAATTGCAAGATGCCTAAAATCACTAAGAAGTCCACGGCTGTGACAGGGCATTTTGGTAACTGTTTTCATTTAGGCATTTCATCAAACAATAGTTGTGCATAAACAAACCCTAATTCAATTATCGTTCAATTGGTTTCTTAAATCATCCAAATTGAGAGAATCATCACCACACCTACACGGCACAAACACTCCAAAAGATTTCTCCAATTCTTCCACTTTCACACCCATCATCAAACCATTACATACACTCCTCATATTCAACTATATCCAACAACAGCTAATAATCATCCATCTCATCTCAATTTCTCAATAATCATAACATTTACATATTTAAAGAAATCTCTACTCACTTGATTTTCTTAAACTTTAACTTGAGTTGGATTTTGAGTGGAATTTACTTACCTTTTGCTTGAGTAGTCTCTCCCTAAGCTCTCTACTCTTGTTGGATTCAAACCTTCTCTTAACCCTATCATAAACTTCAAAAACTCACACTTTTACACAAATAAAACATAGATAAAGAGCATGAATCTTTACCTTTTGATGCCTTAATCAAAATCCTGAAAATCTACTCAAAAGCCCTCAATTCTTGGAGAAGTGAATGAAAATTTGAGAGAAAAAGGAGGGAGTGTGGGGGTGGTATGAACGAAATAGGGGTTCAAACCCTTTAACATTTTATTTTATAACCTCACTTTCCCATTTTTGCCTTCCTCTTTCTTAGAAATTCCATCTTTGTCCCTTAGAAAGAAATTCCATCTTTGTCCCTTAGTCAATTACCAAAATGCCCTCACTTTTATTGTATTCTCTATGATTTTCTATCTCTTTTCACTCCCCACAAAATCAACTAGTTTTGAGTGAAACGATGTTGTTTTGCAAAAATGTTACTGAAAAATAGTAAAAAAATATCATTTCTGCGTTTTTTATTACTGATTTTATGTTCAACCCAAGCTCGTAGCAAATGCTAAATGTTTGTGAAATGGATTATTGAGTATCAATTTTTTAATTAACTTCAACAAGATTGATTTTTAATCTTATGGTTTGAAATTATATAATTGTGTCAGTCCAACTTTTTGGCATATAATCAAGAGGAAATCGGTGGAGGAGTTCCAGCCGTATGCTTATATTGCAACATGTTTGAATTGTATGTTTTGGATCCTTTATGGTCTGCCATTTGTTCATCCGGACAGCATACTGGTCATCACCATCAACTCTGTTGGGCTTGCAATGGAGTTGATATATCTAGCAATATTCTGCCTCTATGATCGTCAGAACAAAGCAAGGGTAGGTTTGCCTTTGCCTTATGTATGAATTTTGTCACACATTGCTCTGACAAGTATAATCTATAGCCCTTCAATTGAGTTAGAGAATGAAACCAATCAGTAAAAAGATGTCACTTCAACAGATTCGATTATTGATAGAATATAACTTGTCTATCTCATAGGTGAAATTGATTCAATACAGGCATGTCTAATCTAGACCAATGGATAACCAGCATGATACTTTGTACAGTTTATGCAACCTGGAAATGCATATGCTGATTTTGCTATTTATCTCTTTCTCTATTTCCAGAAGAAGATTGCAATTGGTCTTATAGGTGAGTTCGTTTTGGTTGCAGCCGTTGCTACCATTAATATGCTGGCTTTTCACACCCATACCAGCCGATCATTTTTGGTTGGAATTATATGTGTTGCCTTCAACATTATTATGTATGCTTCACCTCTCACCATTGTGGTATGCATCTCCTGAATCCAATTCCATAAGCTTTTTATTATAATACTCAACTACACTTGTAATTCATTTCATTTCTTGAATCTTTCCTTGTCTCGCCTTGATTTTAACAGCGAAAAGTTATAAAGACGAAGAGTGTGGAGTACATGCCGTTCTATCTCTCACTAGCAGGCTTTGTTAATGGTTGCATTTGGTCTGCTTATGCTCTCATCAAGTTGGACTATTTTATTCTGGTAACACTTTAAATCCCAGTAGCCAATTTAATCACAGTAATAGTAGTTTAACAAAATATTAATACCCAAATAAGTTAGCTGCAGGAGGATCTAATACAATTATATCTGGTTAACAATGGCAGATAAGCAATGGTCTTGGAACAATTTTAGGTCTTGCACAACTCATAATATATGCATTTTACTACAGATCAACACCAACAAAAGTTCAAGACGACAAGCCAACTGAGGCTCAGCTATCTACTGAAGTTGCAGCCTAAAACGATCGATCAAGATTCAAGCCATTGTCGTTTTAGAAAGTGCAATCATATATTGTTTTTTTTTTTTTTTTCTTTTATCAAAATAATGTTTGTTGCGTAGTTTTATGTTTTGCCAACAGTTAATCACAAATTTAAGATGGTTCAGGATTTAGTACAGAGAGTTTAGTTGATGCATGCCTGAGATACAACATTTTTTCACTAGCAGGATATTGCCTTCTTTTATATTCAAAACCGTATGGATGAAAATATGATTTTGATGCTATAAAGCGCAAGTTATGCAAATCTGATGAGATTCATTCAACTATGTCTACTTTCAACAGCGAGGAACTAGTGTAGTTAACTTGATGAAATTGGTCTAATTAAAACTTTATTTAGGCCCATGATCAGGCCCAAACGTTTACAAAGCTTATGATTCAGGCTCAACAGTTATACAAAGCTTATGACTTAGGCCCAAAAATTACACAAGCTGATGATTCAGGCCCAAACATTACACAAGGCTGATGAGCCTGATCATTCAGGCTCAAAAGTTATACAAACTTTTGTATGATTGAGTCCCAAAAATTATTCAATCAAAAGCCAAGCTGATAAGTGAGGCCCAAAAATTGTACAAGGCTGATGAGCCTGATGATTCTGGCCCTATGATTCAGGCTCAAAAATTGTACAAACTTATGATTGAGGCCCAAACATTACACAAGCTGATGGTTCAGGCCTAAAAATTATTCAAGGCTGATGAGCCTGATGATTCAGGCTCAAAAGTTATACAAACTTATGATTGAGGCCCAAACATTACGCAAGCCTATGACTCAGGCTCAAAAAAAAAAAAAAAAAAATTGTCAAAAGCCAATCTGTCAAAGCCAGGTTTCGCTCATGGACCTATGGGTTTTGAGCCCACCCGGCTTTGATAATAATTTGCAGAAATTTTTTATATATCCATCTCATTGCCTTAATATAGACCACCGCCCTAGATTTTTCAGAAAATACCCCCCCGCCACTAAGTATGCATATATTATACCTAATAAAATTAACTTACAACTAAATTTTACAAACTCTCTCTCACAACCTCAATGTGATAACTTATAATTAGTTTGGTGGAAAAATTCATCAGAAATCAATTATAAACTGTTACGTCAAGATTGTAAGAGAAAAATTGTTGTTTGAGTTATAAATGTAGTATTGTCCTATTATACCAAACAACCCATGCCTTTTCAAAAATTGTTCAAACTCTTAAATACTAACTATGTCACATTTTCTTTAATAATTAAGTGTAAAATTACCGAGGGTCGTTTGATATAGTTCAAATATAGTGTTTTACTTTTTAAAATAAGGGATACAATAAATCTTGTGAAAATATGTATGGTAAAAATGAGTAAAATTGTTTGAAAAAATAGTTTTTTGTTACAATCTTAGAACTAGTGTATAATTGGAAAATGATTAAAAAGTTGTTTTCTATATTTTTTAATTTGAAAACAGTTTTTAAATAAGTGGGAAGAATGAAATGTTTACTCTCTAAAAATAATTAGAAAAAAATGGAGAGCTTGAAAGAGGAGCTCTTTCCCTATTAAAAATTAAACGAAGAAAGTAGCTAATCACTAAATCAGAAAACTCGCTTTAATAATATAAGCTCTGATACTTAGTTGAATTTACTAATTATTAGTTTAGTTCCTAATCATGTGTTACAGTTCTTGACTGAGGTAGATTTTGAAAATTAGGCCATTAAGAACTGATTTATTACGACTTTAAAAGAAATAAAAGCGTTATATTTTGTAATTAAGTTTTACTCTTTGGTCAATTGAAAATTTGAAATAAGCTTTCGAGATTATTGAATTGATAATTGATTATCTCTGCTTGTAAAGAATGGACTGTTGTTTTGCAAAAATGTTACTGAAAAATAGTAAAAAAATATCATTTCTGCGTTTTTTATTACTGATTTTATGTTCAACCCAAGCTCGTAGCAAATGCTAAATGTTTGTGAAATGGATTATTGAGTATCAATTTTTTAATTAACTTCAACAAGATTGATTTTTAATCTTATGGTTTGAAATTATATAATTGTGTCAGTCCAACTTTTTGGCATATAATCAAGAGGAAATCGGTGGAGGAGTTCCAGCCGTATGCTTATATTGCAACATGTTTGAATTGTATGTTTTGGATCCTTTATGGTCTGCCATTTGTTCATCCGGACAGCATACTGGTCATCACCATCAACTCTGTTGGGCTTGCAATGGAGTTGATATATCTAGCAATATTCTGCCTCTATGATCGTCAGAACAAAGCAAGGGTAGGTTTGCCTTTGCCTTATGTATGAATTTTGTCACACATTGCTCTGACAAGTATAATCTATAGCCCTTCAATTGAGTTAGAGAATGAAACCAATCAGTAAAAAGATGTCACTTCAACAGATTCGATTATTGATAGAATATAACTTGTCTATCTCATAGGTGAAATTGATTCAATACAGGCATGTCTAATCTAGACCAATGGATAACCAGCATGATACTTTGTACAGTTTATGCAACCTGGAAATGCATATGCTGATTTTGCTATTTATCTCTTTCTCTATTTCCAGAAGAAGATTGCAATTGGTCTTATAGGTGAGTTCGTTTTGGTTGCAGCCGTTGCTACCATTAATATGCTGGCTTTTCACACCCATACCAGCCGATCATTTTTGGTTGGAATTATATGTGTTGTCTTCAACATTATTATGTATGCTTCACCTCTCACCATTGTGGTATGCATCTCCTGAATCCAATTCCATAAGCTTTTTATTATAATACTCAACTACACTTGTAATTCATTTCATTTCTTGAATCTTTCCTTGTCTCTCCTTGATTTTAACAGCGAAAAGTTATAAAGACCAAGAGTGTGGAGTACATGCCGTTCTATCTCTCACTAGCAGGCTTTGTTAATGGTTGCATTTGGTCTGCTTATGCTCTCATCAAGTTGGACTATTTTATTCTGGTAACACTTTAAATCCCAGCAGCCAATTTAATCACAGTAATAGTAGTTTAACAAAATATTAATACCCAAATAAGTTAGCTGCAGGAGGATCTAATACAATTATATCTGGTTAACAATGGCAGATAAGCAATGGTCTTGGAACAATTTTAGGTCTTGCACAACTCATAATATATGCATTTTACTATAGATCAACACCGACAAAAGTTCAAGACGACAAGCCAACTGAGGCTCAACTATCTACTGAAGTTGCAGTCTAAAACGATCGATCAAGATTCAAGCCATTGTCGTTTTAGAAAGTGCAATCATATATTGTTTCTTTTTTTTCTTTTATCAAAATAACATTTGTGTTGTATGTTATGTAGTTTTATGTTTTGCTAACAATTAATCACAAATTCAAGATGGTTCAGGATTTAGTACAAAGAGTAGTTTAGTTGATGTATGCCTGAGCCTGAGATACAACATTTTTTCAGTAGCAGGATATTGCCTTCTTTTATATTCAAAACCGTATGGATGAAAATATGATTTTGATGCTATAAAGCGCAAGTAATGCAAATCTGATGAGATTCATTCAACTATGTCTACTTTCAACAGCGAGGAACTTGTGTAGTGAGGAAAATTAACTTGATGAAATTGGTCTAATTAAAACTTTATTTAGGCCCATGATCAGGCCCAAACGTTTACAAAGCTTATGATTCAGGCCCAAAAATTATACAAGGCTGATGAGCCTGATGATTCAGGCCCTATGATTCAGGCTCAACAGTTGTACAAAGCTTATGATTCAGGCCCAAAAATTACACAAGCTGATTATTCAGGCTCAAACATTACACAAGGCTGATGAGCCTGATGATTCAGGCTCAAAAGTTTTACAAACTTATGATTGAGGCCCAAAAATTGCACAAGCTGATGGCCCAAAAATTACACAAGCTGATGAGTCAGGCCCAAACTTTGTACAAGGCTGATGAGCCCTGATGATTCTGGCCCTATGATTCACACTAAAAAATTATACAAACTTATGATTTAGGCCCAAAAATTATTCAAGGCTGATGAGCCTGATATTCAGGCCCAAAAGTTGTACAAACTTATGATTGAGGCCCAAACATTACACGAGCTTATGACTCAGGCTAAAAAAAAAAAAAAAAAAAAAAAAAAACGAAAACCAATCTGTCAAAGCCAGGTTTCGCTCATAGACCTACGGGTTTTGAGCCCACCTGGCTTCCGTTGTGCCACTCTGGGGTGTGTTTGGTTAAGTATTTCTACTCATATTCTCAATTGAGAGTAGATCTGGCCTTTTTCGGTCAGATCCACCACAGCGATGCTTTACAGCACAGATCCGACTGGTCTATGTCGTAACGAAATATTTCGGCCAGATTCCGGCGGTGGTGGCCAGAATTTAGCACTGCGGGTGGTGGGGGTATTTTTGTCATTTTACATATTGGGTGTTTAATTAAATTAACAAACCTTGGGGTTTTTTTTATAAATTTTTAAATTTTACCTCGTAATACTCTCCTATCCAACTACCCAAAATTATTCCCAAAATCCTATCCAAATAATGAACCAGACGCACTCCTGATTGTTGATAATAATTTGCATAAATTTTTTATATATCCATCTCATTGCCTTAATACAGACCATCGCCCTAGATTTTCAGAAAATACCCTTGTCGCTAAGTATGCATATATTATACCTAATAAAAATTAACTTACAACTAAATCTTACAAACTCTCTCTCACACCTTCAATGTGGCAACTTGCAATTGATTTGATGAAAAAATTTATCAAAAACTAATTGTAAACTATCACGTTGAGATTGTAAAAGAAAATTTATTGTTTTAGTTATAAATGTAGTATTGTCCCATTATACCAAACAACCAACGCCTTTTCAAAAACTGTTCAAACTCTTACATACTAACTACGTCACATTCTTTTTAATAATCAAGTATAAAATTATTGAGGGTCATTTGATATAGTTCAAATACAGTGTTTTACTTTCTAAAATAAGGGATACAATAAATCTTGTGAAAATATGTATGGTAAAAATGAGTAAAATTGTTTGAAAAAATAGTTTTTTTGTTACAATCTGAAAACTAGTGTACAATTGGAAAATGATTAAAAAGTTGTTTTCTATATTTTTTAATTTGAAAACAGTTTTTAAATAAGTGGGAAGAATGAAATGTTTACTCTCTAAAAATAATTAGAAAAAAATGGAGAGCTTGAAAGAGGAGCTCTCTCCCTATTAAAAATTAAACGAAGAAAGTAGCGAGAAGTCTGATTCTAGCGAGAGTAGCAATCTGACCGACGCCATGTTTTTTGCGGTCTAAGTTTGGTGTTTGGAATTGCTTCCGGGCAATTCTTGCGTGGAACCAGATTTCCTTACATTGTCACTGCATTTTGTGTTGTAATAGTAGAATTATCATAGATTCATAGTACTAATTATAATTTTAAAATATTATTAAGCATAAACTTTTTTATATTGTTATCAAAACGATAAATATACCCTTTATTAAATAATAAAATAACATATACATTAGGGGTTCTAAAATTTTCTTTACTCGATTATGATATTTTTCCTCTAGCAAATGACAATTCTGTCTCTCAATTACTGCTTGAAAAAAAAATGAAAACCACTAAAATCAGCGGGTGTATTATAAATAGCTCAGCAGATATTGTAGTGTTATAAATAGTTCGCAAATATTGTCCGCTTTAGTATAGTTTTGTTTATAGTGTAACGAATCCCACATCGAAAACATATTGGGGAGATCCTGGGCTTATAAATGGGGGGAGTTCCTCCACCTAATAGGTTAACATTTTGAGTGTGAAACTCCCAGCCCGTGACAAGTGATATCAGAGTAGACTCGATCCGTCTTTTGATGTCTCGTCAAGCGCCCACGCAGGGGCATTCACGTGTGATTGTGGATCCACACGAGAGTGAGATAGACGGGTAGACAGGGGGGCCCACCTGTGACGAGGGCGTCACAAGATTAGGTGGGGAAAAATGTAACGAATCCCACATCAGAAGCGTATTGGGGAGGTTCTAAGCTTATAAATGGGGAGAGTCCCTCCACCTAATAGATTAGCCTTTTAGGTGTGAAACTCTCAGCCCACACTAGGCTTTAAGCCCAAAACGCCTCTACTAAATTGATGAGACCACTAACATATTAACGTATGGGAGGAAAAATAAAGGCGTGAAAGGAGAATGACGGACGATCTTGTCAGGCATTATGCATGATTGTGAGTGTGGTACCAGTTTTATGAGAGAGTGAAAGTGATGATTAGTGGAAGGTTGAATTCTGTTATGGTGAGAAAGTAAGCAGAATAAAAGAGAATTGCAGGGATTTGGAGGGATTCTTTCAGAAAGTAATAAGGGAAAAGGGTTGGGCCCCGGAAGTCCAGTTGGCCGGTTGGTTTTCATTTATTCTTAGTGTAGTAGTTATGGTTATTTTCTTCTTATGTTGATCTGTAGTTGTAGATGGAATTGACTTGGTGTAGTATTGTAGTTTGGTTATCACATATATAAATCGATGTTATTCAATATTTGCTATTGTTCTTGGATTGTTCTCGTGTGACTTGAAGTTCTGTGTGGTTGTAGAAGTGTTCTGGGATGTTGTTATTGTGAGTGACAATTGCTGGTTAAGATTGGGTATCTAACATGAATATAGACTTACTAGTCCTATTTAAACACTCTGTTATCAGCAATGTGGACTTCATATTACAATACACAACACATTGCAATTGTGCTCATATTGTGTTATAAAGTATACAAACCCTCATCGTGATCGTGCTGAAAACATTGAAAAGGAGTTCGGTTTGACTAGAAAAACTTATTTGCATGGCATTGCTTCTTGGGAGTGATTATTTATACTGAAGGGATTAGGTAATTGCTATGGCAATTTTAGGTTTCCTATTTGGAAATTATGTTAGTTATGTTGCAATATTATATTATGCATTTTGGATTTTCTAAAGTTATTTAGGGCCCAATTAGTAACGTTTTATCAATTTTTCTTTTTCTTTTTCTGAAAATTGCTTTTTTTATTTTATTTTCAAGATTTGGCAATGCAACGGATAGCATGTCTGAAAATAATAGTGACAACATATCACAAAAATCCCTCACAATTACAAAAGCATTTATAATTACCTAAAATCATGTCCTAAGTAGTAAGTACTGCTCACTTCATTTTGGTGANGAAAGAGGAGCTCTTTCCCTATTAAAAATTAAACGAAGAAAGTAGCGAGAAGTCTGATTCCAGTGAGAGTAGCAATCTGACCGACACCATTATTTTTGCGGTATAAGCTTGGTGTTTGGAATTGCTTCCGAGCAATTCTTGCCTGGAGCCAGATTTCCTTACATTGTCACTGTATTTTGTGTTGTAATAGTAGAATTATCATAGATTCATAGTACTAATTATAATTTTAAAATATTATTAAGCATAAACTTTTTTATGTTGTTATAAAAAAGATAGACATACCCTATATTAAATAATAAAATAACATATATATTAGGGGGTTCTAAAAAATTTTTACTCGATCATGATATTTTTCCTCTTACCAAATGACAATTCTGTCTCTCAATTACTGCTTGAAAAAAAAAAAACAAGAAAAGCACTAAAATCAGCGGGTGTATTATAAATAGCTCAGCAGATATTGTAGTGTTCGCAAATATAGTTTTGTTCCTAGGCTTCAAGCCCAAAACGCCTCTACTAAATTGATGAGACCATTAACATATTAACGTATGGGAGGAAAAATAAAGGCGTGAAAGGAGAATGACGGACGATCTTGTCAGGCATTATGCATGATTGTGAGTGTGGTACCAGTTTTATGAGAGAGTGAAAAAGTGATGATTAGGGAAGGTTGAATTCTGTTATGGTGAGAAAGCAGAATAAAAGAGAATTGCAGGGATTTCGAGGGATTCTTTCAGAAAAGTAATAAGGGAAAAGGGTTGGGCCTCGGAAGTCCAGTTGGTTTTCATTCTATTCTCAGTGTAGTTATGGTTATTTTCTTCTTTTGTTGATCTGTAGTTGAAGATGGAATTGACTTGGTGTAGTTTGGTTATCACATATATAAATCGATGTTATTCAATATTTGCTATTGTTCTTGGATTGTTCTCGTGTGACTTGAAGTTCTGTGTGGTTGTAGAAGTGTTCTGGGATGTTGTTATTGTGAGTGACAATTGCTGGTTAAGATTGGGTATCTAACATGAATATAGACTTACTAGTCCTATTTAAACACTCTGTTATCAGCAATGTGGACTTTATATTACAATA